CCCTCCCCTGCACACTTGCAGGCCCCCCCCCACACACACACACATACCCTGTGGCACACTCCCCCATCCCCGCCCCTGTGCACACGTCAGGACAGTACCACAGTCCTTCCGTAGACCTCGCTTTGACCCGGGACCCTCTCTTAATCTGCCGTTCACTCTCCCAGCCCTTTGATGTCATCTGTCCTCTTGCTCCCCGGTGGGGCTTCTCTCTGCCTGTTCCTTCCTGATGTCCCTTGGTCCTGCCCCACCCTCCTCTGAGCAAGCCATTCCCAGAAGGGAAAGCAAGCCTTCTCTCCCTCCAGCCCCTAGACCAGTATCTGGAAGGCCTCTTTGCTCCTGGCCCCAGTCACCTTCCTTTCCTGTGTCTGTGCCTTTAGCTGGCTCACCTTTCTCCCCTTCTTCACGTCTGCCTGGGCCATCCTTCTCTAGACTTTTCCTCCTTATTTTGGTACTTCCAGTTGGGGGGTGGGGGCGGGATCTCTTATCTCTCTTAGATTCCCTTTTGTGAAATGGTCCAATTCCAAGATCTCTTTTTCTTTCTTCCTTAATTAAAAACAATTTTCTTGTCCTCGTTTCCTCCCCTACCCAAGATCCAGGGCCTGGAACAGATTGCGGATGGAGAAGCATGGGCGGCCGGCTGGCCTCCGAACGGCAGGCAGAGCAGTCCCGAAGGGCAGGACGAGGGAGGGGTCAGTGCTGAGGCTGGGGGCCTAGGGTCCTGCTTGCCCATTTTCTGGACGTTGGTCAGGCCGGTGGGGTGCCTTGAACCCCTGTGACCACCAGGATCTCTTGTGGATGCCATTCCCACCCTCTGGGCTCTGGAGGCCCTGGAAGAGGTGGCCCTGCTTGCCTCTATCAGCCCAAATGTCCAGGAGGGAGAAACTCCCCCAGTGCCGCGGTGCTGCAGACGTCGTCCCCAAGCCTGGAAGTCCTGACCACCTCTCTCCCTGTCTCCACAGTTCATGGCCCAGGGGAAGACAGGGAGCAGCTCTCCCCCTGGGGGGCCTCCAAAGCCTGGAAGCCAGCTGGATAGTATGCTGGGGAGCCTGCAGTCTGACCTGAACAAACTGGGGGTCGCCACGGTTGCCAAAGGGGTCTGCGGGGCCTGCAAGAAGCCCATTGCTGGGCAGGTGATGAACGTCGAGGTGGAGAGGGGAGGGAGCCGCAGGTGGTCGGACCTCTGCTCCTCAGGGGAGGGTGCTCCGCGGCAGGCCAGGGCCCGGAGCCGTGTTCTGCCTCCTTCCTCAGGTTGTGACCGCCATGGGAAAGACGTGGCACCCGGAGCACTTTGTCTGCACCCACTGCCAAGAGGAGATCGGATCCCGGAACTTCTTTGAGCGGGATGGGCAGCCCTACTGTGAAAAGGACTATCACAACCTCTTCTCTCCACGCTGCTACTACTGCAACGGTCCCATCCTGGATGTGAGTCCCTGTGGCGTGGCGGGAGGGCAGCCGTGCTGGCACATTTCTTCTTCGCTATAGTTCGTGCCATCTGATGCTCAGGTCACTCCTATGCTCGAGCTCACACAGCCAGGAAACGGTGGGGCTGGGATTCAAGCGCAGGCTGGATTCGGGGCCCCTCTGCCTCCCTTCCACCTCCATCCCAGATTCCCTCTGGGGAAGCTCCCAGGAGTTTGGAGCTCCACCCTGATAAGTGGAGTGGCATGCTGGTGCCCTCACTCTCCTGCTGTGTGATGTTTAGGGAAACGCTCAACCTCTCTGAGACTGTTTCTTTTCTTATAAGATGGGGGTCACAGTACAACCTGTGACCTTAACCTTACCATGTGAAGATTCAGGAGAGAGAGTGTGTTGGGCATGTCATTTCCTTCAGTGAATTGGAATTCCCGGTAGTAATCCAAGCACAGTGAGGAGAGACTTCATCTCTGGATGGGCTGGGGGGTGGGAGGGTCTTGCCTGTGAGTTTCCACTGTGGAATCTGTCCAGTGGGTTGGCAACTGGGCTCTGGGCCCACACTTTGCTTTCACAGAAAGTGGTGACAGCCCTGGACCGGACGTGGCACCCCGAGCACTTCTTCTGCGCCCAGTGTGGAGCCTTCTTTGGTCCCGAAGGTACGACTGGCAGGCAGGCCACCTTGCTGCCCCTCCTTCTGCCCCCAACCCCATCCCCAGCACTGGGGAGGCAGGGGCAGGAGACTTTGCTGATGTGAGAGTCAGGGTGGCTTCTCCTTTGGAAGCCCTAACTCTGCCCCCCAAACCCCTGCTCCTCAGGGTTCCATGAGAAAGACGGCAAGGCCTACTGCCGGAAGGATTACTTTGACATGTTCGCGCCCAAGTGTGGTGGCTGTGCCCGGGCCATCCTGGAGAACTACATCTCGGCCCTCAACACTCTCTGGCATCCCGAGTGCTTTGTGTGCCGGGTAGGGAGCCCCCTGGCCTACTTGTCTGGAGGGAGCTGGGAGCGGGCAGTGGGGAGAGAAGGCCACCCCTCCGCCCCCCGTGATGCTCTCTGGATCTAACTTGGGCGTCATTAAAGAGGTAGCAGATAGAGGGTACAGTTCCCAGGTCCAGTGGATCCTGGGCCAGAGCTCATACTGAGGCGGGGAGAAACCAAGAGGAGTAAGGTAGACATGTCCCCAAGCCTTGTCCTGTGTGGTGGGCGGCCCTGGCACTGGTCACGTTCGGTAGAAGGGCACGTGAGAATTAAATGAGATCAAGCATTTAGCAGCCTCAGTGGAAATATTGGGCCATGGTCTCCAAACTGCATTCTGGAGGTAATGGGGGTCCACAGATGTTAGAGATCCAGCAAGGGCTTTCAGACCAGATAAGTTTGGAAAACACTGCTCACTGCAACACTTCTCAGTGCCTTTGACACCCAAGTGTGCAGGTAGGTTTCTGGGCACAATGTTAAAGCCACTTGCCCAGGAGCCCAGTAAGACCTGTGTTTGAATCCAGGCCCTGCAACTTAGTAGATGTGTGACTGTAGGCAAGTCACTGAACTTCTAGGTCTCAGTTGCCTCCTCTGTTGGGAGAATCCAGTGAGCGTTTGGTGCAGCACGTGGCACATAGGAAACGCTCAGCAAGGGGGAGTCATGACCTTGACGGACTTCTGCCCATGCCAGTGGCAGATGTCCCAGCCTGAGCCCCCTTTCCTGTGCCCCACCCCCCTCTTCTGCCTGGCAGGAGTGCTTCACGCCCTTCGTCAACGGCAGCTTCTTCGAGCACGATGGGCAGCCCTACTGTGAGGTGCACTACCACGAGCGGCGAGGCTCACTGTGCTCTGGCTGCCAGAAGCCCATCACGGGCCGCTGCATCACCGCCATGGCCAAGAAGTTCCATCCGGAGCACTTCGTCTGTGCCTTCTGCCTCAAGCAGCTCAACAAGGGCACCTTCAAGGAGCAGAACGACAAGCCTTACTGTCAGAACTGCTTCCTCAAGCTCTTCTGCTAGGCACCCTTCATGGCCCCCCCTGCCCTGGCCCAGCCACCCCCCCTCCCCCCGCAACTGCTACTGTGACCCAGAGGCCTTGCCCAGGGGTGAAGGGGCAAACCTGATCGAAACTGGAACCCGTGTCCTCGGCTGGTGCAGGATGGCAAGAGGGCCCACTCTTCTTTCCCCTGCCAGAGCCTCTGGGCTTTCCTCCACTTGCAGCCCCCTCCCAGGCTGCCGACTCTTCGTCCTCCCTGGACGTGTGTCCCCACCAACCCGCCTGGCCATGCCAGCACCCGACACTGGAGCCATCTCTTACTCATGTTTTGGCAGTGGAGCCAGGGGGAAGGGCAGGCAGGGTCTGATGGGGTCTTTTTTTTATCCTTCTTACCCCGTCCCGACCTGATTATCCTTGTCCTGAGAGTATTGGGGGACACCCAGCTCCCTTCAGACAATGCCAGCATAAATCTATCTACCCAAGGGTGGAAGTGGTCAAGGGGCCACCCAGAAGGTTTCTTGTGCTCCTCCTGTCCTTCCAGTCTCCCCAGGCCTGGGCAACTGCCCCCTGCTCCCCCCATCCCCCCATAACTGCTCTGGTTCTACTGAGAGAGGCCTCTTCAGCAATAATGTTTTATAGTCACTTCCTCCGTCTCCGGGACGGCGCGAGGTGGGGAGTTTTGCCCCGTGCCTGGACACTGTACCGACTTTGATAGATTTCTACACTGAGGTTTGAATTCATATCGTCTTGAGTTGCTTTTACTTCTCTATACAAAATGATTTTGAAGAGATTTTAAAGATGTCCCCTTTTGTACTCTCCTCCTCCATGGCCACTTGTCCTGTTGGTGACAATGGCCGTGGCATGGCATTTGCCTTGTACTGAGGGCTTGGGGTGGGGAAGCAATTTGTATTTTATTTTTTCTTAGCACAAGCAGGTGAATTCGGAGCAGCTCTCTGACTCCCCTTCCTTAACTTCACAGCTCACCAGGACTGTTTTATATAAACTGCTGTATTTTAAAACCCCTTCCTTACTACCTGGGCCAGCAAGCTCTTAACTGAAACTGGCCTTAGGGTGTCTTGCCCTTTGGGGCCTAGAGTTCTGAACCTCATCTGTCCTGTTCCTGAGGGGGGATAAGGGGAAAGTACACTTTGGGGGTGCTGCTTCCTGTCTGAGTAAGCCATCAGGAGCATCTGCTCCCCTGTGAACTTTTTGGCAGCAAAGAGAACCTGCCGAACATTCTCGGCCTCCTCACTGCTTCTCTCTGGCTTTTTCTTCTGCCTTCTCAGGAAAGCTGGTATCTGATTTTGACCATTGGTCTTGTTGATTCCACTGGGCCCCGTATTTCCCCAAATTTCCCCTGCCCTCCCTGGAGACTGGAGGTCTGGGGAAAAGGGCCCAAAAATTTTTGCAAGGGGGCCTGATAGGACTCCAGGCAGAGGGGACAGGATCCTGCTAAAGCAGTAGGAAGCCCTCAGAGCTCTGTCCCCCAAGGATGAAACAGGAACAGGCAAGCCTGGCGTTCCAGGTCCGCAGAAGGGGTCCCGGCGGGGGTCTAACGTGAAGATGATCCAGACCACTCCACTAGCTTCATAGCAAAGACTGAGTGTGCCGGGGTCTCAGAAGAGGGTCCCCCTCCTTTGAGACAGGGCTAGGAGCAACCCCAGTCTGGGAGGTCAGCCAGGCCCCTCCAAAGGTCTGATGTCTCCACTTCCACCCATAGGCCTTATTGCTCTGTTTACAGTGACTGGCCCCAGGGCCCCTCCCTTAGGGGTACTGGGGTTTCTGGGGTCTACCTTCTGGGGCAATGGTTATTTGAGGATTTTATTTTATTTTTTTTTTCTCTGTAAACTTTTAACCTGGCTTTTCCCCATTTCAATTTCTGTGACTTATGCCAATAAAATTTGCCATTATTTTCACCTATGCCTATGCCTAGTGCCTTTTCTTGGTGAGGAAGATCCTGTCTGAGGTAACAATTTAGTGCCAGAAAAGAGACCAAGCCCTCCGCGGATTCATGGAGACCATAGTATGAGAGTAACTCAGTGATGTTCCCCTACTTGAGGAAAAAAGCCCCCGGAACAGATGGGATCCCTGCGTGAGCTTGGCTCTTAGCAGTTGGTGAGGAAAAGCAGGGAGAGCAGTGCTGTTGGGCCCTGCATGGATCAGGCCCTGCCTTAGTTTTGCTGTAGATTCCCTGAAGGGCATCCTCACATGGGGTCTGTGGGTGGCCTCACACTCATTTACAGATAAGGGAAGGGGTTCAGAGAGAACTGACGTGCACAACACAATTCTCTGAGTGAGCCCAGAGGCAGGATGTGAACCCAGGGCTTGCCTCTGCCTTGGTTCCTGCTTTGACCAGATGTAGCCCCCACCGCCGCCGGACTTGCTGGCTGGAGGGGAGTGGGGTGGGAACCTTCCCAGCAGAAGTTGGTGGACTTACAGTTGAGGATGGGTCTCTAGTGCCCTCCGGTGGTCATATCCATACTTGCATGCTTCCTTCCTGGTCTGAGCCAGAATTCCAGTCCTGGGCCCTAGGAGCTTCCTGGATAGCTTTGTTCCCCTAGCTGCTTCGGAATTTACATGTTCTCTCCAATGCGTTTCCAAAAAGCAGCATGTTGAATTCTAGTTGGAATCTTGATTGACCATTTCACAGAGAGCTCAAATGGAAATTATCTTCAACTGTTACCCAAAGGTAATGGTGGTTTATTCCTCCAGACCATGTTGGATTTATTTATAGAAATGTATATGGCTCACTTTACTGTAATTTGCTTTCTCACTGATTTGCTTTTTCACTCAACTGTACTTTGTGAGTATTTTCCCGTGTCAATAAATATAGATCTGCATCATTTTTAATGGCTTCATGATATTCCATTATATTGATGTACTACAATTAGAGATGATATTTATATCATCAGAGCCAGGATGTCCTTGGAAAGGTACCATATGAGTATGTACATACACGGAAAAGTATAGGTTAGGGAGAAACAGCCTCAGGGTTTGGAGGGGACTGTATAGCATTATGAGGCCCATGGGCTTTGAACTTGCTCCTAGATTTCAGTTCCAAAGCCATTGGGGTTGTTGGGTTTTTTGTTTTGTTTTGTTTTGTTTTGTTTTGTTTTGTTTTCTAAATATTTATTTATTTTTGAGAGAGAGGGAGTATGTGCACATGAGGGGGAAGGGGCAGAAAGGGACAGAGGATCTGAAGCAGGCTCCCTGTTGACAGCAGCAAGCCAGATGTGGGGCTCGAACTTGTGAACCTGGAGATCATGACCTGAGACCAAGTTGGATGCTAACCTACTGAGCCATCCAGGCGCCCCGCCCCACACCCCAAGCCATTGTTTACTGGTTGAAGGACTTGGGCAAGTTGTTTAACCTCTGTGAATTTTCTCACCAATAAATGGAATTACTAATACTGTACCTCCTCAGGGAATTGTTGCAAAGATTCACAGCAGTAATGTGCACAAAGTACTTAGCCCAATGCTGAGCATGCAGTAATACATTGTCATTAGAAAGGGAGCTTGGCAGTAATTGACTCCAACAGTCCTCTAAACAGCTGGTTGTCAGAGGCACTAGGAAACTTTGAAACAAAAATACAGGAATTTGTAACTTGGCCATGTGAAAAGAGTGAAGATAGAAACATGCTTCTGCCCTAGGATCTAAGCTCAATCATTACAAAAAAACAAAAAACAAAAAACAAAAAACTATGGATATAGCACAAGTGTTCAAATAAGTGTTGAGGGCATCAGGGTGGCTAAGTCGGCTGAGTGTCCAACTCCTGATATCGGCTCAGGTCATGATCCCAGGGTCATGGGATGGAGCCCAGCATGGGGCTGTGTGCTGAGGCTGGAGCCTGGTTAAGATTCTCTTTCTCACCCTCTGTCCCTCCCCTGCGTGCGCGCCCTCTCTCTCTTTCTCAAAATAAATAAATAAACATTCAAATAAGTGTTGAATGAATGTATAATAAAATAAACTAGTATTTAGTGACTTCCTCCTACATTCCAGGGATTGTTGTTAAGATATGTGTTACATATCTCATTTAATCCTCATAGCAACTCTTTCTAGAATGTAGATACTTGATTATCCCCATTTTACAGCTAAGGAAAGGGAAACAGGGTCAGTAAGGTGAAATCACTTCCTAAGATGACATAGTTAGCAAGTGGTAAGGGTAAGAAGGGTAAGGGTAAGTGATGAAGGGTATGGGTCCAGGTCTTCTGACTGCAAAATTTGCATTCATTCATTCAACAAATATTTATTATATGCTTGCTATGTGCCAGACATAAGATAAACGTCTCTGCTTTGTGGGGCCTGCATTCTTGTGGGGAGAGACAGACAACTAACAACGTAATAAGTTACATACTGTGTTATAAAGTCTAAGTGCTAAAAAACAAAACAAAAAGCAGACAAAAGGTGTAAGTGCTACCAAAGAAAAAAAAATAGAACAGAGTAAGGAAGGAGTGGGGGTGGTGGTAGTGGATTTTGGGGGTAATTTTAAATAGGGTCATCAGCGTAGGCCTCTTTGAGTGCATGATATCTGAGCCAAGACTTGGAGTTGTTACTTCTGTGGATACCAGCAAGGAGCCTTCTAAGAAGAGGGACTAGCTACTACTGCAAGACCATAAAGTGGGAGCATGCTCTGGAAAAACAGGGAAGAGCATAGTCTGGTGGAAGCGAATGAGTCAGTAGGAAAATAAATTATAGGAGGGTAGGTCCAGAGCAGATCATGCAGGACCTTGTAGGGAGTTTTAAGTTTTAGGCTTTTACTCTGAGGGAAATGGGAAGGCTTTGAGGAGTTTTGAGCGGATGAGAAATGATCTAACTTAAGTTTTAAAAGATTCCTCTGTTTTGGTAGGGAGAAGAAGAAACTGTAGACAAGAGACTATGCTGTTTCTAAAGCATATGCAATTATTTCTTAGCTCCACATCGTACTGTTAATTTGCGATTTGGCTAGGTGGCAGGAAAAAACTTGAACGCTCCGTTTGCAAGCTCTAGTTCCCACACACAAGCAGCTCCAGCCCAGCAGAGGGCA